GGAGGCACAGCCAGATTGAGTGGGAGACCTGTGTGATAAGGAGGGGCAGAATGCGGGGAAAGGACATGTGAGCCATGAAAGAGGATGAAGCTAGGGCCCCGGGGAAGGGCTTAGTGGTGAAGAGCACATACTGCTTGCTCCTGCAGAGGAACCAAGTTCTCAGGGCTCTCAGTTGACTCTAACTCCAGATGCAGGGGCGTGATGCCCTCTTCTGGCCACCCCGGGCAACTACACTCACAGGCACATACTGCCCCCCCCCCCACATAATTTAAGATTAAAAAGAGGATGCAAAGCTAATTGTTTTCTATTTTCAATTCTACCGGCTTTGTGTTTTCTTTTTGTGATGGATAAGTACATAAAACTGCAATTGACACTGATAGTGTGAAGTCCTGAGGGTACCTCCGTGGCTTTGGAGTGCACAGAGGTTCACCCAGATGTGTTGAGTCTGAGGCTGGGTCGGCGCTGGACTCACGTAATCTAGCTGTGTCATGCTTTGTGAGTTCATTACAATCAACCGATCTTTTAGAAAGCAGTAAGGAGAGGGATTGAGGAAGACACCCAAAGTCCACTTCCACAGTGTGCACTTACACAGAGAGACCCCAAACCCAACACTGGTGCGGTTAGCGCCTCGGTCCGAGCCTGCCCCGGGTGAGGAAGAGGTGGCTCAGCCGGGCCCTCGGCGTGTTTGTGGGGTACTGAGTTCGGCACTGTCTGCAGGAGGCTGCACAGGGTGCTGTTCTTTGTTCTCCCAGCGATGGCTGCCGGAACCTGGAGTATCTGAACCTCTCCTGGTGCGACCAGATCACAAAGGACGGCATCGAGGCGCTGGTGCGGGGGTGCCGCGGCCTGAAAGCGCTGCTCCTGAGGGGTTGCACACAGGTACAGAGGCCGCGCCGGTCAGCCTGCTCCCCCGCCGCGCGGCCAGCGTGGTACCTGACCCGTTCCCTCACCTGGACTCCACCCTCTTTCATGTCCGCCACCCGCTCAGCTGGAGGACGAAGCTTTGAGACACATTCAGTGTCCCACTGCACCTGTGCACAGCCCCATTGTCTGGCCACACCTGCCCAAAGTGGATGGCAGATGGCCACATCACCCTGCCCCGACTCCTCTTCCTGTCTTCCTTGGAGCTGAGAGTCTAAGGTGAGACAACAGTAATAAGACAGCGTGGCCAGCACAAGGCCAATGGCACCCTCCCCCCCCCCAGGCATATGTATCAGTCTGGATTGTTAATCTCTGTGCCTGCACCCGTATACTTATATTCTACTTAGAAACATATATATGGATATGTATGACTTATATATCACACATACCTATGATAGAGAGACAAGGTCTCACTGCATAGCCCAGGCTAGCCTGAAACTCAGTTCTCATGCCTTAGCATATAGAAAGCTGGGATTACATGTGTGGGCCGGTATGCCTGGCTGGCTCTTTCAGAACAGTCAGGAATGCTGTAACTAGCTAGCTGTTAGACCTCAACAGCGGGGTGAGATCTCAGTATCTCATTTCCTTTCAACACATTGGGGTGATGACCCCTCTAACTCTCCACTGGGCTAGGGAGATAGCCCAGTCAGTTAAGTGCTGGCTTTATAAGCACAAGGACCTGAGTTTCATCCCTAGAACCTGTGTAAAAAGCTGAGCATGGTAACATGTTCTTAAAACCCCAGCACTGGGGAAGCGGCAGGATTCCTCTAGCTTGCTGGCCAGCCAGCCTCCTCCATATGGTGAGTTCTGAGCCAGTCACAGAGTGTCTCAAAAAGGAAGGTAGCCAGCACCTGAATGACACCTGAAATTGTACATGCATGTATGCACATGTGTGCGTGCGCACATGCGTGTACACACACACACACACACTCGCAACAGTTTTGTAAACTGTGTGTAAGAAAGCAGCTTTCTTCTGTAGGCATTAGCTTTGCCAGTTTTTCTCACTGACACTGTGTGGATGTGCAGTCACGAGGGAAAGCCCTTGCATTCAGCTTGTTTGTGTTGTTTTGCTTTCGAGACAGGGTTTCTCTGTGTAGCATTGGAGCCTTTCCTGGAACTCGCTCTGTAGACCAGGCTGGCCTCAAACTCACAGAGATCCACCTGCCTCTGCCTCCCGAGTGCTGGGATTAAAGGCGTGTGCCACCAACGCCTGGCTGCATCCATGTGTTAATAAATGAATCCTAGTCTTCAGAGTGCCTGATGGTGGAAAGGAAAGCAGATGACGTTCATAGCTGGCTTCACAGATGTGCCTGGACTGTCCTTAGTTACATGGGGTGAACACTGGCTGGCGGTAACCCTAGACTAGGTGCATGTATATTATGTCAGCATGAATTAATGTATTTGAACACGAAGATTGCTTTGCATCTTCACAGACAAATGAAATAGAACTCCAAGGAATTTATCAGTAACTGGTTTTCCTTTTCTCTAAATTAGTTGGTAAGATGTTATATACATGTAAACATAACACCATTTCTATGATGAAGACAAAGAACAACTGTCTACACATCCAGCCGGTTACTAATGTGTCTTTTAACTAGGAAGTCTCGTGAGTTCTTTGTTTAATGTTTTATCACCAGTTTATGAATTCCTCCTGGAAACAGTCTCTTTCAGTGTCCATTGCTAACACTAGGCTATTTTATAGCTGTGCAGAAGCCTCTCTCTGCTTGTCTGTTGAGTAGGACTGGGATTGAACTCAGGGAGGGAGAGCCTCTTGCATGCCAGGCAGGCACCTACCAACTTACTCTTAGCCCGGACTTACTGTTATTTTGGTTTTGGAAAGTTTGAGTTCCTTGCCTGGCCTGGAACTCACTCTGTAGACCAGGCTGACTCTAGACTCACAGAAATCTGCCTGCCTCTGCCTCCCGAGTGCTGGGATTAAAGGTGTGCGCCACCAACGCCTGGCTGCTTTTCTTTTCTTCCCCCTTTCCTTTTTTTTTTTTTGGTAGAGTTTCACTTATGTAGTCCAGGATGGCCTAGGACTGGCACAGTCCTCCTGCCTCAGCCTTCTAAGTGCCAGGACTACAGGCGAGTGCTGCCATAGCCAGCCTGTGTCCCTTTGTTTGGGTGTGGCTGAGGCACTGGTGGGCAGCTGAAGGCTCATTTTCCTGGCCCCACGTCAGTGCTGGGCCCGACTCCTGTCTTCTTCTCCCCAGCGCATCACTGATGATGGCGTGGTGCAGATCTGCAGGGGCTGCCACCGGCTGCAGGCTTTGTGCCTCTCGGGTTGTAGCAATCTCACAGATGCGTCTCTCACGGCCCTGGGCCTGAACTGCCCCAGACTACAGTGAGTATGGTTCACTTTTGCTCTGTGGCTCCAGGAGGACTAGGCTGCCTAGGGGGAGAGGTTGGCAGCACCTGGAGAGGAGTGGTGGAGCCAGGAGCTGTTGGGCTGGGGTTAGACAGCACCTGACCCCATCAAGGGGGGATGGATGTGTGTAGCACAATGTCTCTTAACATGTTTCTTGGTCTGTTTCATGAATTTGTCCATAATTTGACTCATGCCGTTATACTTCGGCTATCAGAGTGGTCTGACAGTGGACAGACTAGCGGTGGGTCTCTGCGGCACCAGTCACTAGATGGAAACTCAACACAGCTGCTTGCCTGTCGTCCTCCTGATTATCGGGGCAAGGGCTAGTTCCCAAGGCAGAGCATTCCTGTGCACCACCCAGGCACTTAACTCTTGACATGCAGGGGCTGGTGCCTTGAGAGTGGATGCTCCCTGCAAGCCTTATCACCCTGACTTAACACATCCACGGGAGTGGACACTCACTTTCACGAGAATCTGAGCCATTAGGAAAGTCAGTTTGTCCTGCACCTCATGAAGGATAAGGAGGGAAGCAAGATTATGAACCTGTAGATTTCATTTCAAAACCAGGTTTTTGTTTTGATTTTCTTTTTGAGACAGGTTTTCTTTGTATAGTCCCAGCTGTCCTGGCACTTGCTCTGGAGACCAGGCTGGCCTCCAACTCACAGAGATCCACCTGCCTCTGCCTCCCAAGTGCTGGCGTTAAAGATGTGCGCCACCACGTGGCTCCTGTTTTAATTCTTATGAGAATTAACTCATGTTCTTTTTTTTTTTTATCGCCTATAGTTTAAAATTTCCTAAGAGGGCAACTAGACATTTCAGTGTCTACAGGCTGAAGACGTAACTTGGTGGGAGAGCACTTGTTTAGTACGCATGAGGCCCTTAGTTCAATCTCCAGCACCACAAAATAAATAGTGTAGATCTTAAGATGATTTTGATTAGCAAAAGTCCATTTTAACCACTGTTTTAAAAACCAGTGGTGGGCAGGGCCACGGTCCACACCTGTGAAGAGACATTAGGACTCTGGTCCAGTCCATCCATCCTGGTGCCTCCCATCTGTCCTGAGAGGCTGTGTTTGCAGGACTCTGCAGGACGGGACCAGAAAACAGCTCAGTGTGCTGCAGAAATGAGCACACTGGAGAGTGTGCATCATGCAGTATGTTCTGTTGTTAACCAGGCTCTGCTTCTTTTCCCCTCGTCCCCTTCCCAGAATTTTGGAGGCTGCCCGATGCTCCCATTTGACGGATGCAGGCTTTACACTCTTAGCTCGGGTAAGGCATTGAGTTCAAAACACAATTGTATTGTAAACCCCCCCCCCAATTCAAAGAGACTCAGGTAGTTTTGGGGAGCACAAAGAAATGAAAACCATGCCAGGTGGTGGTGGCTTTAATCCCAGCACTCAGGAGGCAGAGGCAGGAGGATCTCTGTGAGTTCGAGACCAGCCTGGTCTACAAGAGCTAGTTCCAGGACAGCCTCCAAAGCCACAGAAAAACCCTGTCTTTGAAAACAAACAAAAAACTGAAAATCTAGCTTCAGAAGAGATGAACATGAGGTACGATAGAACCATTTCAGAAAGCTTTGCACTTTTTTCTGCTGGCCAGGACTCTGGGGAGATCCTGGAAAGTATGTCCAACCTTTCAACATAACTTTGTCATTTACAAAGTTCATAAGAACTGGGCCACATTCATAGCTCTCAGACTGCAGTTTGGACATGCCGTCAGAGCATCTGGAAGAATGCTCTTGTCAGTGAGGCCCATCTTGAACAGAATCATCTCTCCAGTGGCAGGTGCCCTTTCTATATGAACCCACTGGGATGTGCTTTGCTGTCTTGCATACTGCCTTAGGTGCTGTGTCCTCTTGCCCTTACCTCCCACAGGACAGAGCATCCATTTCCAGGCTGAAGTCTGTGGTGTAGGAAGGTGCACCAACCCCCTGGGTTGAGAGATGGTGTGGTCCCCAGTAGCCACAGCCATTGCCCAAAGTGAGCACTGACTCAAAGGGCTGCTGCTCTGAATTGCTGGTTTGGGATGGCTGTAGAAATAGGGACGGCTCCTCAGTGGAACGGGTGAGCCACAGGGCTACTCTCTGGGTGGCTCAAGTAGCAGAGTGTCTGTGGCCTCTTTCAGAATTGCCATGACTTGGAGAAGATGGATCTTGAAGAGTGTGTCCTGGTGAGTGGACTTGTGGCATCCCTTTAGGGGGACTCGCTCGCTGCTGGGGCCTGGCATAGTAGCAAGCACAGGCTACCATTACCCCAGCATGGTACTGGGGATTGGGCCCTATTAGGCCACTTGTAACGGGACTTGTGTTTGGCTGTTCCAGAACTTCAGACAGACTATAGCAGAGACATGCAAGAGAGCCCAGCCATTCCCAAGCATCAGGAGGATTCCCTTTTTTCTCCTAGCCTGGGAGAGGAACGAGCCTACATTTTAGGTGATAGGGAAACTACAGAGACGGGGTCCTGGGGAACCCCCTTGTCCACCTGCTTTTGTGTCCTGTCCCTCGGCTCCCTCAGGCACCAGAAGCAAGGCCAAAAAACAGTGTGCCTCCCCAGGAAGCAACAGTTTGAGTCAGTATGCTTGGATGAGGTTTCAGTTTGCTTTTGTGCCCTCTGATCCCCATGTTGAGAAGCCAGGATTAGGTGTTACGGCCTGGTCTAGAAGCCACACTGACAGCCTGTTTCTCTGCAGATCACTGACAGCACCCTCATCCAGCTATCCATCCACTGTCCCAAGCTGCAAGCCCTGGTGAGTGAGTTACTGGTCATAGGAATGACTTATGCATGTCTTAGAGTGCCATATGGGTCCATTTCCTATAAAGTACTCAGAGGAACATTCCAACTAGAAATTATGAACACATAGTAAAACCAACAGAAAGCCAGTGTCTGTGAAAATTTTCCGAACAGTTGTATATACTGAATATAAAGACCAAAATTCAGTGGATGGCCTCAAAGCATAGTGGAGGACCCAAAAACAGAGATGGCTTACTCTGGGCAAGTAAGAACAGCCTGAAGAAAAGAATGAACAAGAGAGGTGGCTTAGGGCCTTAGTGAGCTGGGACAGAAGATGTGACAGTTACAGTATCACAATTAGAACATTGGTAAAATGTTCCTGTAAGTTCAAGCTGATCAAACCTTGGACAGATCAGTGCCACCCATCCATCTATCCCATCCACCCACCCATCCATCCATCCCACCCACCCATCCCACCCACCCATCCATCCATCCATCCCATCCACCCACCCCTCCCATCACCCACCCCACCACCCCGC